CGATGGCTGGCCGAAACAACGCGAGGGACACGAAATAGGAACCTTCAACTTCAACTCACTTGCGGGCTGCAAGCAACACCACTCATTAAAGGTAATGCAAGCACCGGATCAATAGCCCCGTCCCTCAAGGCTTGCTATTGGGGGTGGGGAATGTTGGACTTCTTTTATATATTGGGGGTGGTCAATCAGGAGAGGTCACCAAGACCAAATCTCTTCGTGAGGAGAGGCCCCCAAAGACTAAATCTCTTCATGACGAGGGCTTCAAAATACAAAACATCTCTTCATGAGGAGGGATCCCCAAAGACTAAAACTCTTCATGCTGCAATGGGTTCTGATTCTGATCAACGAGCCTATGGTGGATTTACCATCGCCAGCTAAGAAGAATCACGAGACTAGGCAGGCGATGGGGAGCAATCAGTGTGGCCTACTTGTTTTATCATACATGGAGCATGAGGTAGCACTGGCCACCAGTCATGGGCCAGCTGCTTGCGGACGGGCAGTGGGCATGAGCAAGAATTTTCTGACAATATTGAGAAAGATGCATGGGGAGGTGGAGAAGAATGAGGAGAAGCAAGTTTTGGCTGGGAAGAAGATGGAAGACGAGAGGATCAAGATTGCTGCCATTGCCAAAGAGAGATGGACAAGAGGCGACGGCTTAATAAGCTCCAGGCATTGGACCGTAAGGTCACCAATGAGGGCCAAGAATTGCAGGTGCATGAGCTGCTGGATGGGTACTTCAAGGAAAGGGAGAGGACTTTGGCCAATGAGGCGGGTGTGTGCAGCAAATGTCGCATGCGATCAGGATGGCTTGCATGTGACCCAGGTAAGCTCACAGCATATTGGATGAGGAAAGAAGTCGGTATTGAGAGAATGTTGTTGCGAGATGAACTGTTCGACTGACATCAGTCGATGTTGTCAAATGGGTGTCCAGCTGTTCCATGAGACTTTCTGGCCAAAAGAAGTAGTAAACGTGAAAACCCGTGCTTGCAGGCCTTCCACTTGCTCTTTGCGATTGAAGTTGGGGCGAGGTTGTCAAATGGGTCTGTTGCGCCAACTGTTCCGTGAGGCTTTCTATCCCAAGAACGCCTAAGACCTGGTCACCGATCAGCTGTGGTCACCACTACGCCTGATAGAATAGCCCTGCGGGTCTCAAGGTGCATGGTATCCTGATTGGAGGAGACCTTTGCTGCACATAGCCACCAAATAATTTGGCCAATGAGTTTCACTGGATGGGCAGTGCCAAAGGCATGAGCCAACAATGAGCCAACATCGGAAAAAAGGTTTGTTGGAATTGGGTTGGAGAAGGGTTTAAATTGGCAGTAGGACCATAGGATGAGGGAATGGTGAAATAGAAGGACTGCCACAATTGAATTGGACAAGGTGTTTTCAGGCTTAGTTGACAAGGAGACCATAGGATGACGGATTTGTCGAATGAAAGGTGGTGAGCAAGGGCAAGGAAGGCGGTTAGTGTTGCCAACAATTATTCCAAGGGCAAGGAAGGCGGTTAGTGTTGCCAACAATTATTCTTAAGAAAAGTGGATCAAACTATATGAGGGGGATAGGTCCAACTTCTTCGCAATGGGCTAGAAGGCTTGCTGCAAGGCGAGTATGACTGCAGGAATTATATTTTTTATTTGTACATCATACTTAAACACACACACGCACACAAGAGCAAGGCCATTGAACTTGCAAACGTTCAAAATTTGGGTTAGACTCACAGTGAATGTGTCGTGAGGCAGCAAGTGCCAAAAAGACTCGGTCAAAGTGCCAAAAAGACGGGTCAAAGTAGCATTCCTCCACCTTATTGACTCTTTTGTTGTGGGTAATGTAGAGTGTAAAATCTGCAAATGAAGTAATTGACCCTAAAGGATCCTGGCAGCTGATCCACTCGGCCAGTGTGTTCCCTTGAGAGGAGCAAGGCATCGCCGAGATCACGGCGGAGGCGGTGGTGCTTCAGCCACACGTGGGTGTGCGTGCCCCTAGATGTTGTGGCATTGAATTTTCCCATGGGATTTTGATTGCTCACCAAAACGAAGAGAATACACTCGAGGATGTTCGGGACTGATCCACACCCTGGGGACGAGCGCTGGCGGCATTGGTTGGGTTCCTGAAACGCCGAGTTCGATGCCATTGACCATCAAAGGGTTCAGGCATTTCCATCGAAAGGTGGAACAAATACCTTCGCATTGTGATCTATGCGGAACTCTGTCCACCTGATCACGGACCTTTTTTTCTGGATCTTATCCGGATAAATCCGGATATCCAGAGGATGATGTCTTATCCGGTGCCATTTTCCGGATGGACGTCTTTGTTGCCAGGTGATCTACGCGGCCAAGGAGGCTGTGGGCGCCTGAGGACGGTAAGGACACGAGTGGAGTCACAGAGGTGGTTTTTTGAAATTCTTTGGGGTGATTTGTTTTCTGTTTCTGTTTGTCTCTTTGATTCGTTCTTTTGGAGATCTGCCTCTTTTTAAGGTTTGCTTCAGTGATCAGCTTTTCTTAGGTGCCTTTTCGCATATGTTTGGTGACTGTGGCACTTGGTGTTTATGTTTGGAGGGCCCTTTGTGTTCGGTATTGGTTTCTCATTGGAGACTTCTTTGTGCTTTACATGTCCATGCACTTGTCCATGAGGGAGAGCAAGGGTAGCCGTGTTTCCAATTTGAAGACCTCTTTCCTCCAATTTGAAGCCCTCTACCCGTGTTATTTCCCCTGATCGCTACGGGGTTCTTATTTCTCAATGACTAGGTGCCTGTATTCCTTTTTGGTTTGCCGCTGCTGTGTGCGGCCTGTGTGATGGCCGTTTTGGTTTGTCGCTGCTGTGCCGCTGCTGCCTTGCCTCCCTCCCCTCTTCTCTCCTTACATGTCTCCCCACTTGTCTCACGGGCTCGCTGAACTAAGAGGAAAAGGTGTGTTTCTGTTTGACTTAGTTGCTATCTGGGGTCTATGCCGGTGTTATTTTGGCATTGCACAAGACTGTGTTAAGAGGGAGGTCTCCTGGCCCAAGGGGTCGACTGGTTGATTTTCCTTCTTTCCTTCTTTCTTGGGGTTGAACTGGGAGGTCTCCCTATTTTGATACACACCCAAATCCTGTGAACCGCAGCAGGATGTTGACATGTCAATTTGCTCAGGGCAAGAGCACCAAGTGGCTTGGATCCCTCGTGCAATCTGCAGTATCATGAAACCCGCGCATCATGGCACCGAAAAAAGAACATTGTTCTTCTCTTTGAAGGCTCCTCCGAGACTCAGTCGCCATGCAAAAAGACAGGATGGGATCCTCATATTTTATCAATGTTCAATCATTTGTAGCCTGAGATTCCTAAGATCTGTATTTTGTTATGGCCAGCACTTTTGCTTTGCTGGGCCCTTTGCGCCTGATGTTTGTCCCTTTGCGCTGCAGGAACTGGGAAGGCGGCTGCCAGTGACCTGCTGGAGCACCTTCGCAGCTCGCCAAGTAGCAGAGGCCCGAGCACCCACTGGTTGGAGACACACGACCGGAGACGTAACGGGAGACGTAACGGGAGACATCTCCACTCTTTGGTGCCCGGGAGACGTAGGGCGGCCCAAAACCAATCATTCGTGAGCTCCACTCTGGAAGACGATCCCGACCCTGAACACCACCAAATTGGTAGAGGAAAACAATCTTCCAGAGAATGTATCTTGTCAGGGTCTATGTTAGTTTTTCGGGAGTGTATTTTTGGTCCCTGAAGCTGTTCATCATTCTTCATCGCACCGGCAGGCCTCCGAAGGGCACCGCTACCGCTGCAGCTACCGCTTTGATGCGAGCGACCAAAAACCACGGCGAAGGGTCTACTTCAGCGGCGAAGGTCCGTTTCCAGGGTGGCCGTGACATGGATCGTGACACACCAAACGTCCAGGATTCTTGACTCCAGAAAGTTCAACATTTCTATAGTGGAGTGATGGCACAATCCCCAATGTCGGTGGTTTATATGGACCCCCATCCAAAGGGCATTTTGGAGTTTGTGCCACCACTCTAAGTGGTGTTACACAATGGGGGGCTTGTCCTCAAAAAGCCTGAAGACGCATCGAGCCGTTCAAAGAACATGCTATCAGCTAGGCCACCCTGTGTTCCATAAGTTTCCCTTTTTCAAGCAAGCAAACTGATGTGGGTCCTATTTTTGAGACAGGTGCATGCATTGCCACTGCATATGGAAGGGATTGCATTGAGAATCAGCTCTAAGACTACCAGACGTCTTCTCAAGACATGGAACTGCTCATGGTGGCCTCCTCAACTCCTTTTCGTACTTCGCTTTGGCGGTGAGCTCTACGAAAAGTATTCATTACCATTCTGATTGATCCCTTTTGCTCGTTGAAATTGTGCGGTGGCTGGTCATGCAGTTCCTGCCCCAAACGCTGGTCATGCATCTGCAGTACTGGCTGGTCAAAGAGCTGGCTGACGGCACGCGACGGTGCCGTAGAACTGCAAGGTGAAGTCAGAACAGCGCTAGGGCTTCCTTGGTTCTCCATCCTCATGGGGTGGCAAAGCGGCTGCTTTCCATGTGTCCAGAAGGATGTTTTTCACAAAATGGATCCCCAAACCAATGGGTTGGTGGACATCAAATCATTTATGGTTCCTAAGATTCAAAAGCACTCACATGGATCCTTTTTTTTTAATCAGCCACTCAACGGTGATGGACATCCAAGTGAGCAGTAGACAGCTGCGGCAGCGGCCTTATGCGACAGCTGCGGCCCGTTTCAGGCAGCGGTGATGGTTCAATTGTTGCAGAGAACTGTGGCAATCGATTCATGCTGCTAGAAAAGCGGTGCGACTCGATTGAAAGCATTGAAGATCTTCATGATTCTTTCACAATTCTTTGACCTCTATGAGCCCATATGCTTTTTCATAGTGCTTTTACATGAATGGATCTTGAAAAAACAAGCCAGGGTCAAAGCGCCCAACTCTGGGCCTCCCGAAGTTCGGAAGCCTTTCCTTTTTGGGACACCGGGCCTTTCCCTCCACCAAAGTGTAGACCGAAACCTGAGGTTTCAGATGCTGGAGGATCGTCTCTTGATCCTGAAGCCCTGCGGCTGGGAGACCACTGGACATGCTGACGCCCCACAGCTGCCCGACTTCCTGCAGGCGGCGCGGCGCGGTTCGGGCGCGGCGCGGCGCGGTTCGGAGGCAGTGGAGAGCGAGGGCAATGGGGATTTTCAGGATCCAGTTCCTGATGAGGGAATGAACTCGGTGGAGTTGGTCAGTTTAGAAATGGTCGCACATTCTTTTTTTGATTCTTCTTGTAGCTTGAGGCGACGTGAGGGTGGACTGTCCGATGGATTTCATGTTGATGTGGCAGGGGTAGAAAATATAGCTCGGAGGCCGCTGTGGTCCAAGGTTCCTTGTGTCTTGAAATCAGCCCCTTGGGCCTTGCACGTGTCACCTGGGGAATGTGGTGCCCTGTGTCCTGCATGTGGCGCGAAGTGAGAGCAAGCAGGAAGTGAGAGGAAACATGTGCTTTTGATTCCTTTTGTGCATTGTTTGGCCCAGCTTGTCTGCAACCAGAAAGTGCAAGAAAGCAGGCCAGCCAAGAGAATGATGAGAAGAACTTGTGCTTGGATGTTTTCGCTATAGGCTATAGGTGATGTGTAATGTGATGTAATGTGTATTGTTTCCCCATGTGGCTGTTGGTACTCGTATCTCAGTATATCGATCCCGAGGTCAAGATCAATTGCACGCTGAACACCAAGAGTCCCAGATCTACAAGCGTTGAACCCCAACAGCAATCTACCAACCTACCAACCTTTGACTTAACCCAACTGATTCCCCTTCACCCATTCCACCGACCTTTCGCGCCACCCGGGCGCGAAGCTGCGGGATCGCCCCATGGGCCGATGCTGCGCTGGGCGCTCAGCGGTGAATCACTGGATCTGGACGCGGACGTTCCGGCGGAGGAACTGGCGGAACGGATCACCGAGAAGACGGGCGTGTCCAGCCGCTTGGTGTGTTTTTTTTTGGTGCGCGGGCTGGCTTGGCAGGCGCGCGCGCACACGTACCGGGGTGTGTACCCGTATCATCTCGTATCCTTTCTCCAATCATCATGGAAGCTGACCAGGATGATTTTTGCAGGGGCCTACGTTCCAGTTCCGTGATTGTTTCAGGGTGTGTACACCATTGTACACCTTGGAGTTGATGGCGTCTCGCAGATTGACAGGAAACAGGGAGATCAGCCAGTGACTGACCTGGTCGAGTGAAGCTAGGTCACTTCCAACTGAACCATGTACCTGCTTGACTTGACGCTACGCAGTGATTATTTCATTCTTTCATCTTGCGCCCTTTAACAGGACGCAGAGTTTTTGGGGAAACAGGAGAACCTGCGCCCTTTTGACACTTAGAATTTGCAGTTGAAGTTTAGAAACTTCCTTGGAACTCCTGACACCTTTCAAATTCATGGTCAGACACCGCTCATGCAGGTCATTTGGTTACCCAGGCTATTCCAGGGCAACCGTGCTTGGCCGTAGGTACATCTAATCTCAATTGACTCAAGTGTGTGTAAGAGTGTGTGCGAACGGCGAACGGATGAAAGCGATGACTTCTGGGGGAAGGCTTGAGTTGTAGAGACCTGAAGAGATGGCGGAACCGTGAGATGCATGTAGGTCAAAAACCAGAGACCCAGGTCTACAACCGCACATGAACGGAACAGACTGCCAAGGAGGTGAAGCTACAAGAATCTGGGGTTATTGCAGTGTCTACAAGCAGGTATTACGATAACACAAGAAAACATAGGATATTCACGATATTCACGACGTTGTTTGTTCTTTTCTTTTTAAACTCTGTACGTCGTTTCGGCGGTGCACGTGTCCATTTCCGGGCAAACCCTTCTGGATTTTCATGCTAGATTCGATCTGCCCAGCAGAGCCTGACCAGACTGCATAAAATGTATTACGGAACATATACAGATACATAAATATATGCTGTATACAGATGCTATACTTTCATACATTGCTCTAGCCTAGTGCTTAGCAGTTTTCAAAGAGATCAACATGCCACCTGCGAAGTGAACGTGATCGAGATGTGGCACTGGTTTTTGACTTAATTCTTGGGTAGTTGGCGAGACTCCCTCCAAACACCTCAGCAATCCGGAAACTGGGAGTAGAAAGGAACATGGAAAGATAGCTACTCCCCACTATGGCCAAGGATGCTCCCAATGGGAGGGAGGATGAGCGCAGACGGAGAGACTCCGTTGATTCATTTATACCTAGGCCTAGTGACTTCCAGTGGGATGATCCACTGGCCGCTTCACCAAGGCTACTGCCAGCAGCTCTTCTTTGACCATCCAGGCGAAGTGCGCGTGGCACTTCAGACTCAGGTGTCTTTCCACTGCAAGAGGATCTGAGCAACACATTTGTTTGTTGGGAGATCGACCACCACGAGTTTCGTGGTGACAAATGTAGACAAATGTCACGTTTGTGGTCCATTTCATGCCAAGGACACTCCTCTAAGCTGACTGTTCGAACATCTATCCCCCACCTCGGAAACGGGTTTAGTTCTGGACACTGTTCGAAAACGGGGGCAAACTGATTGTTGAGTGACTGAGCGTAGCACTGCGTAGGATGCAACCGGTCGAACCGCATAGGACAACTTGCCCCGCCGGGTCCTTCCGAGCCAACAAATTCCATTCTGGGGGGATGAATCAACATTCCACAGCAACACACGCGGACACATGAAGACGACTTGCCAGTTGCTGGGCAACTGAGTTTCAAACGATGCCCGATAAGAGAAACAAAATCCCAGTAAATATGGATAGTCAATACTTCCAGGTTTACAGTTCTTTACTATATAATGGAATTGTCCATATTGTCCCAAAGCCGAGGTCCGCTCTTCGTTCGAACACCCCAGGTTCTTACAGAGACATCAAATCGACAGCTGTGAGCTGAGTCGCGGGTTTGTAGCATTCTCTAAAAGTCGAATCCATCGTTCTATGGCGTCACAGAATATCTGAGAAACCGGTTTCCCACCTGGCTTGACACCTGCGTTGTTTCAGCGCGCGCGTTTGATTCTTCAAAGGTGAACGACTTTGATCGCGAGCTCCTCATCGCTGCAGAAGAGGGGAGTGAGGAGGTGGAGGAGCGAGGAAACTACACTGGTAGGAGTTTGGAGGTAGGTTTGGGCTTTGAAGTTACTGGATGGCTGGAGGAGTTGCATAGGTAGGTTTACTGGATGACACCGAAACATCCACCGCAGCGTGGTTGTTTGCATCAGTCCCCAGGACCTCCTGCGGCGCTTTCAGAGCCCCAATTGTTGCTCGGTCCGGACAGTGCGGCGAATACGGCAGCGGTCGTGACCCACCTGGAGCCCGACCGGTCGGCGTACGAAAACACGACCGACACCTGGTAGGTCAACCGGTGGGTCTCCTGGTGTCAGCTGGCTCCCCACCAGACAGATGACCAAGCAAGGAGATGTCATGGCCTTGGTTTTAGGATGTTTTAGGCTTTAGGGCAAAGTTTCAGCCAAAGTAGTAGGAAGGGCATGCTCCACTCAGGAGATTCACTATGGACTTTTGGTTCAAGGGTTTTGCTTCCTTTACAAACCTGTGGATTTCGCAGCTGCTGACTCTTCATGGAGAACCTAGATCCAGACATCACCACCAGGTGCTGGAACGCCCTGCAAGCACTGTTTCTTTTTCTAAGGCTCCTGCCTTGAGCTCCTTCATTGTGTGAAAGACATACTATATATATATATATGGTTGTGGATCTAAAGGTCCTAGTCAGCAGTGTGTATGACGATGACCCGGAACATATCAAAATCTCATTTGGCGAAAGTTTTTTCTCGAGTTGGCGAAAGTTTTTTTTGCGAAAGATCTGGCGAAAGATTAAATATGTACTTTTGTATGAATGTTCATTTGCTTTCTGAACAGCTGGTGGCAGTGACTCAGAAGCTAGATGAGCTGTGGAAGTTAGATAACCTGCTGCTGCTGCGGCTGCTACTACTACTACTACCACTACCACTACCACTACCACTACCACCACCACGACCACGACCACGACCACGACCACGACCACGACCACGACCACTACCACTACCACTACCACTACTACTACTACTACTATTCCTGCTCCTGCTTTGGGGGGTGGCTTTGCCACAAAACTCTACCCCGCAAAAGGCGAAAGTTTGGCGAAAGTTCAGCTCAAGATTGGCGAAAGTTCACCCTGCCACATCTGACCGCCCATTATGAGTAAGTTTGAGTGACCGGCTACTACAGTGATTCTTGCAATTTTGATTCTTGCTGACACCCAGGAGAAACAAAAGAGACGTACAGGGTGTCAACAGTTAAGTAGAAGACACATGCTGACAAACAGTGAAGTTTCTATTTTGTGTTTGCCAGTAAAGAAGAAGCCATTGACGTGAACAAAACACAACATACATGGCACACATAAATAGAACGTACTTCGGCGAAAGATAAAACGCAGGAAGGCGAAAGTTTGGCGAAAGTAAATTTTTTTGGCGAAATTGACGGATCCCGGATAAAGGAATTTAGATCAACGCCCATATATAGGAACCGAACTGGATAGAATATTCCAGCCGATGCGCTTCAGGTTTGAGTTGGAAGAAAGCATCCCAAGCCATGGTGAAACGTTGCTAGGTGTTCTCACTCATATCTAAGGTGTGGATGAACTACAACGCTCGCCTCTCTTCATCGCTAGCAAGGCGCAAGTTAGGGTGGCGAAGTCTGTGCAATTACAGGATGGAATAGGTCGCACAAGAAGTACTTTTATTGTTCATCAAACCTCCTACCTATATCATATACATTAAACATAAAAGGGTGCTTTTGCATTTGCCTTTTTTGCTCCAAGATGACACAACTCAAGGGTGAAACTGTTCCCTTTTGGGGGGTGAGAAACCGATCCAGCATCTTTTGCCAGCCAGAAAAAAACACCACGGAATTAGGACTTATCGAGAAATACTCTTCAATTTCGATACGATGCCAAGTTTCCTTTTGACCGAGCTATGTCGCTAAATCTATTTCCTCGGAGACCATAGACTTGCTCTCCAACCACCGTAGTTCCGGCTGTTCCGACCAGGCCGGGCATCGGTTGACCGCGCGCCGCTTGCTGGAGGCCCTTGCGGACGTGAATCACAGCAGC